TGACTGATTCTCTATCCTGCAGTATTTCTTAGGTTCTAGATTTTAATTCTAGATGAAAGGTGCCAAGGATTTCATTTGACTTGGATTAGCAATCAATGCCCATGTAAGAGTAGCAGTAAAGAAATCAAATTATGTACTGCATTGGGGACATCTACTGCAAAAGATTGTTTTACATTGTGGTAGCCAAACAATTGCTTTGGTAACTAAGGTACACCTGATACAAGTCACGGTCTTTTCAGTCATCTCATTTGTAACAGATGCACAATGAACAAAGGTGAACTGAAGAAAAATAGGCCCATTTGAATTTTTGTGCCCTTGGTGACTGTTAAGTATGCTATTGACTACTTTAAAAGGAGGAACAAAGCCGTTTTGGAGGTAGTCAGAGTGCTCTTAGAAGTAAGGATAGTAAAATGTCATCTCACTTTCTTCAGACACGTCATCAAGTATAATCAACCAAGAAAATGACACCACGCTTGGTAAAGTTGTTGTTGTTAAGTGTCATTAAGTCAGTTACAGCTCTTAGAGACCCAATCAGCAACAGATCAAATTATTGCCCATCGGTTCACTGGTCACACAATCTCTGCCGTGCTCAAGACCATTGCAGTAGTCACTGAGTCAAGCCATCTCTTTGAGGGTGGTCAAGCCATCTCTTTGAGAGTGTTCCTCTTTTGCTGGTACTTTGCTTTCCTAAGAATGACACCTCCTGACTACTTACCTGAAATGAAATTTCTCCATCCTTGCCTCCAAGGAGCACCCTGATTGTACTTCCGCCAATCCAGTGGTTGTTACTGTTGTTAAGTGCTGTCAATTAGAGTATAACTCATAAGGACCCTATGAACAGCAGATCTGAACCTTGTTCTATCTTGCCCCATCCTTATCAACCCTGACACATTTGAGCCCATTGTTGCAAACATCTCAGTCCATCTCATTGACGGTGTTCCTCCCCTTGGATGACCCTCCACCTTTCCAAGCAGGCTGTCCCTTTCCACAGAATAGTCTCTCCTAACGACATGCACAAAAAATGTGAGACGAAGCTTTGCTGTCCTTGTCTCCAAGGAGCACTCTGGTTGTACTTTCTTCAAGACATATCTATTTTTTATTTTTGCAAGTCCATGGGATATTCAGCACTGTTCTCCAACATGCCAACCCAGACATCAATTCTTCTCCTGCTATCTTTATTCATTGTCCAGCTCTCAGAAGCACAGCAGATGACTGGAAAGACTATGGCTCGAATCAGGTGCACCTTAGTCTTTAAACCCATATCATTGCTCTTCAGCACTTTGGAAAGATCCCTGACAGCAGACTTTCCTGATGCAATACTTCTACTCATCTCCTGACTGCGGGAGCCAAGGCTGTTGATTATGGAGCAAAGGAAGATGAAATTGTGGACTGTTTCAATCTTTTCTCTTTCTATCATGATGCTACCTATTGGTTCAGTGGTGTGGGTTTTGTTTTCTTGATGTTGAGATGTGATCCACATTGACAGCTACAATGTTGGCCCTCTGCACCACGTGCCTCCGGTCTTCTTCACTTTCAACAAGCTAGGCTGTGCCATCTGTATAAAACAGGTTGTTGATGAATTCATTCTTATCCTGATGCTACACTCTTCTTCATAATGTCCAGCTTATCTAATGATTTTCTCAGCATATGGATTGAATAAGTATGGAGAAAGAATACATCCCTGACGCATGCTTTCTGTAATTTTAAACCATGTTTTCCTTGCTCTGTTTATACAACACCTTTGTACTCACAGCAACTTTCCATCAGGTTTCTGAAGCTGTAAGTATTTTTGAGAGAAGATTGTTCATCTTCCTATGATGGTGGTTGTTGTTGATTGCCTTCAAGTTGAGCACAACTCATAGCAACGTTACGAACAAAAGGCCTGAAGCTCCTTTACAACCATCGACATTTATCAAAGTTTACAGAGTTTCCAGAAGCATATTGTTTATGAAGAGGATGGCTTAAATTCTTATTTGTTGCTGTTGTTGTTGTTATGTGCCATCTAGTCGACTACGGCCCCTAGCAGCCCTCTGAACAATGGCTTTGGACTTTGTCCTATCCTGAGACAGTCTCACCACCCCTGACACACTTGACCCCATTGCCACAGTCACTGTGTCAATCCACCTTGTAGAGAGTCTTTCTCTTTTGCACTAGCCTTCTACTTATCCAAACATGATGTCATTCTACAAGGACTGGCCTCTCTTGACACATGCCCAAAGTATACAAGGTGAAGTTTCACCATTCGTGCTTCCAAGACTTCCTCCAAGACAAACTTCCTTATTCATTGTCCAACTTTCATATGCATAGGAAGCAACTGAAAATACCACAGTTTGAACTAGGTGCACCTTAGTCTTTAAATTAACATCCTTGCTCTTTAGAACTTTGGAGAGATTGTTGGCAGCAAATTTTCCCCATGCAACATGTCTTTTGAATTTGTGATTTTGCTACCATGGATGTTGATTGTGGACCCAAGTAAAAACGTCAATGTTTTCTCCATCTATCATGATGTCGCCTCATGGCTGCCAGTACATACAGTTTAAGCCTCTCTTCTTTTATCCCTCAAGACAGTCCTGTGATCCCACTGTCATAGAGATAGAAACCCTCTATCAGGTTTCTGATGCTGTAAATCTTTGTAGGAGGAGACTGCCTATTTTTCTCCCACAGAGGACAGCTAGTGGATTAGAATCGCTGACCTTTTGGATGGCAGTTCAATATTGTATGCACTACACCACCAGGGCTCTTTATAACCCTATGAAATAGGTATTATTGTCCCCGTTTTACAGAGAAGCAAACTGAAGCTCAGAGAGTGACCTACTAAAAGTCACAGGTAGTAACTCTTTGATCTGAGATTGGATTTGATCTGGCTGACTTGGGAGCCTCTTCTCAGAAATCAGCAGAAAAGGGTTGGTTCAAGATTTCTGCTTTTGTGAAGCTTGAAACGAAATTCAAAGAGGGATTGACACAGTGACATCATCGGCTTGAATATGTCAGAGATGGCGAAGCTGTAAAGGAATAGGGCAAGGTTCTCTATGATTCTTTGTCAGCTTGATGGAACCCAATTAAAACAGGAACCCTAGGTGCAACGCGAAACACTCTTTGTCCTGTGCCATCCTTACACCACTGCTGTATTTGAGCATATGTTTGTGTATACTATATAGACTATCGATATAATGAAAAGAAAAAATAGGAGGGCAGCCCCTGTGACGTTCTTCATGTCGGAATTTACACATTTTGTGTAGCTCAGTTGAGCTTTGCCATCTTCTTCCCCGCCCACACTCCCAACAACTGTACCAAGAATACCAATTTTAGGGATCTGAACATTCAGATTGACATACACTAGGAAGAAGGATTGGCCATCCACTTCCAAAATAGCAGGCCTCTGAAAACCCTATGTACAACTTTGGTCATGTTGTAAGGACGAACCGGTCCTTGGAGAGGGTCATCATGCTTGGGAGAGTGGAGGGACAGCGCTGGAGAGGAAGGCCCTCTATGAGGTGGATTGATTCAGTGACTGGGATAATCGTGATGGGTGTGTCAGAGACAGTGCGATTGGCACAGGATAGAGCAGAGTTTAGGGCTGTTGTACATAGGGTCGCTATGAGTCCCAAGCGACTCGATGGCACATAACAACAACAATAACAACTGGTGGCCTAGTGGCAAAATGCTGCACTGCAATCGCAGAGGTACGCGGTAAAAAAAAATCCCAATTTTGCTTCTCATCTAAGGGACCTGCGCAGCACGGTCTCTCCGCCAGGTGTCGCCCTCGCAGCCCCGCCCCCTCTCCCCGCCCCTCGCCGCGTTTCCTCCAATGGCGGCTCTGGTCCCGCCTTCTACGTCTTTCCTGCATCTTTTCGGCATCCGGCCTGGCTCAGTTCGCACGCAAAGCTGCAAGAAGCATGGAGGTGCAAGGTAAACCTCTGCCCGGCGGCAGATCGACCCCTTCCAGCGCGGCCCGCTCGGGGGTGTCGGTGTCCCGAGAGCTGCTGACGGCGGGGAGCGGCGGCCTTGGAGGTGAGGAGCGGCGCGGGGCGCGCGCCTGCGGCCGGGGTAGACGCGGGGTTCGGCGGCGGCCTGCTCGCCCCGAGGGCAGCCCCGGTGGTCGCTGCAGAACACCGTCACCCCACCATCGCGAACGGGCGGGGAGGCGGGAGGCCAGCACCGAACCCGGGCCCGGGAGGCGTGTGGGCCGTGTGGCTAGGTTTCTCTCCTGCTCTCAAAGCGAAGGCGCTCCCAAACTTCTCCAAGGGGATTGTTGTGTGTGCCATCGAGTTTGAACTGACTCGTAGTTGACCCTCCAGCGAGTTTTCAGAGGCTATAAATTGCAGGATAGGAGATTGCTCATCCTTCTCCTGCGGAGCAGTTGGTGGATTCGAACCTCGTCCCTCTGAGATGGCAGTGAATGCCACTTCTTACTACTCGGCCGCCAGAGAGATCTCATCTGGGAGTGTCCATGATTTTGTTAGGCCTTTAGGGTCGCGTTTTTAAGTTGAAAGGACGGGCCGATGGGGATAAGAACTTCATTCCACCATCCCTGAAGTACCCGCAGAACTATTTCATGGTTTCGGTCTCATGTAGGCGTTAGAACACAGAACTGGAAAGCGTGGGTTCGAATTCCAGCTTCAGAGTATTTAACAGTGAAACTTTGGGAATGCTATTTACACTCTTTAAGGCTCGATTTTCGCATTTGGAAATTGGAGGTAGTAGAGGCCTGATGGCCTTCGAATAGATGCCTTCTAGTTGTGCTGGAGAAGTCTTAACATACCATGGACTGCCAAGAAATCAGATTGATCTGTCCTGGAGAGGGTGAAATGAAGTCTCTCCTTGGAGGCTAAGATTTTGAAGCTCCATCTAACATACTTTGGATATGTAGCCAGGAGTGACTGGTCTCAGGAGGGTGGACAGACAGTGCAGGAGAGGGAGACCCCAGGTGAGATGGATTGGTAAAGTTTCTGGGGCAATGGGAGTTGGTTATGGGAATTAGTAAGACTAGCTCAGGACAGGGAATGGTTCTACATAGAGCAGGTACACAAATTCTGTACATGGGGTCGCTGTATGTTGCAGGTGACTCAATGGCACATAACAACAAAAACATACTGTATTAGTTGTTTTTTATTTAAGCCTCATGTTTAGAGTCAACAAGACCTCTGGGACAGCCTTTGTATTTAAAAGTCAGATGTTGTTATATTTTGGAGGAACATTCTTCTAAGTGGTACAGCACTCTTCCGTCTATATGCTGTACTGAGGTAACCTGAGGTTGTTGTGATGCTGAACACTGTACCACTGATGTGTCAACTACCTTAACAGTTCCCTGTGGTGGACAGTGTTTGTTGGAGCTCCCAGTTTAAGACAGGTTTAGAAGCAGGAGTGACATCCACCTCCTAAACAACACACCTCAGAAACTCTATGACCTTGGAGAAATGACTGTTGTTATTCAAAGGCTTCAGGCCTTTTGTTCACAGGGTGAACACTTGCTTGACTTGATGGCAGTCAACAAAAACAGAGAGGCCTAATGACTAAGACTGCTTGGCAGTGGAGAGGTTGGTGGTTCAAACACAGCTTTAGCTCGGGGAGAGAAGACCTGTCAATCTGTTAAGTTCAGAACTCCCCTCTGTCTTGTCGATTTTGAGTTGTGGTGACTCTCTGCCAATTTTCAGGGCTATGAAACGTAACAGGAGGGAGGCCCTAGTATATATACAACAACATAAAATACTCTCTGGTCCTTAGCCATCTGCACAGTCATTGGTATGTTGCAGTCCCTTGGAGATCCAAGGAAAACAGATTCTTGACAATTCCAGTATAGTCACTCTTTATCATGGTGTTACTTATTGGCTGAGTTGTGAGGATTTTTGTTTTTTTGACGTTGAGATGTAATCCATACATCTTAAGTCTTCATCAGTAAGTGTTTCACTCTCAGCAGGTAAGATTGTGTTATCTTATCATCACCATTTATTAGTGAATCTCCCTCCAGTCTTCATGTTTCCTTCAGATAATCCAGTTTATGGGACTATTTATTCAGTATACAGATTAGTGAAAAGATAAGGTAATGCATACCTTTTCTGATTTTAAACCACTCTGGCCTGTGTGGTTGCTTTGTGCCAGAACCATCTGGATGACTTCTCAACAACAGTAGTTAAAGGATTTTTGGAGAAGAAATATGTAAATAAGGTACTGGGCATAATCTCTGTAATATTAGCTTCACGAAAAGGTTCAGTGAGAATTTCGAGTCACTGAAGGAGTTATGATGATAATTATTATCAAAGCTGACGGAGTGTTTACTGCACTTGAGCCCATTTAATACTCAATAAGAAATACACACTTATCTGCATCTTACAGGTGAGGAAGCAGACTTGGTGTATAAATAACAGATACATATAAACAGATAAATACAGATAAATAACTTCCTGAAGAGCTGACAGCTGGAAGGTAGCAAGACTGGGTCTTGAATCCAAGCCTAGTGGTTCCAGAATCCATGTTCTTAACACTAATCCAGTTGCTAGGCTCTAAGTAGAAAGTATTCAACAGATGTTTGGAAGCTTTGCTTTGAAGATGAACAGAAGGAGTTTGGTATGAAAGTGAACAGATTTTGTAGGTATTAGAAAGGAAATTACAAGGAAAGCGTTGAGTTTTGAAAGACAGATCCAGTTCTAGGAGCTGTGACGGGCAGCTGAGATGAGCTGATTTGAGGAGAGATGAAGTTGAATGGTGGACAAGGGTGGGAAGAGCAGTTTCTGATCCAGAAAGATACAGTTCACTGTGCATTTATGTAACTCATTTATGGGGCATATGGTGTGTGACGGGCTTAAGTGAGGGCACGTGGGGGAATATCAAGAAATAAATGATGAGGAACAAGTCGTAATGAAACTTGGAGCACTTCTTTTTAAAAAAAGACTTCGGAGCCAATCAAAGCTGGAGACTGGTCACTAGAGGTTTGCTGAGGGGCCCCCTTTTTATGACATAATAAAGTGTGTGTTTGTCTTTTTCCAGGGATATGGGACAAGTTGCTCATCAACTCCAAACCGAATTCCAGAAAGGATTCTACTCTGAAGACAGTTCGGATAGGGCGGAGTCCTTGTACGTTTTCCTCTCCCTCTCCCTCCTTTTCCCTCAAAGAGCCCTCAGTCATGCTCAGTTTTTCCTAATTAAGCTAGTGAATATGCAGTATGAAACCCCCCCTCCTCCCCCCCCACCATACCCAGTTAAACTAGACACAGTTAGTTTATGGTGTTATTTTTAGTATACTCTAACAAGGAGCCTTGGGAGTCCAGTGGTTAATCATGAGGCTTTTAGCCTAAAGGTTGATGGTTCAAACCACGGAGATGCTTCACAGGAAAAGATCTAATGTTTCCCTCTTGTAGAGATTATTAATGTTTTGTGTCATCAAGTTGGAACTAACCCATAGTGGTTTTTCAGAGGCTGTAAATCACACGGGAGGAAATTGACCAACCTTCTCCTGTGGAGCAGCTGGTGGATTTGAACCTTGTGCTTTTGGGATTACAGCACAGCTTCTTACCACAAGGCCACCAGAGCTGGCTCTTGTAGAGATTACAGCCTAGAAAATTCTTTGGGGCAGTTCTTTGTTAAACATTGCTATGAAATGGACCTGACACCCCTAAGTCTCTTCATCAATTAACTATTGACTAAATTATTTTCATTTAAATTTTTTTTCTACTGCATAATTACAAATATATATATATCATATTTAGACAGTGTTTACACAGCCATTATATGTGTATGCTGAGCCAATATTCAACAGGGGCCTCAGATGCCTAGAAGGGAAAGGGAAGTAGATTTTAGGTTGTTTTGTTGTTGTT